TAGCAGCTTCTGACTTCTCTGTAACACGTCAGAAATAAAAACAACATGGCCTGCGGTGACCGGGACAGAACCGTGGCGACAGTACGCATGTGTAAAAAGTGTCTTAAAATTTCGCAATCCGATCCCTGCACTATGTAACAAACACATTCTTGTTGAATCCATCTAAAGACAGGTTTTCGACATTTCACGAGAGGTTTTGATTCCATTGGCGATGGTACGCATAAAGTGGTGGACCTGGAAAATGGTCAGCATTGCTTCTCTTAGTTGGTAAAACAAAAAGTCGAGGGGATAGTGCTTCAGCCAGCAATGCATAGCATCACAGAACAACCTTTGACCTCCATTTGTGCCATCACTTGAGCTGTCAAGCAAGTAGGTAAGGAAGGAAGGGCCGAAGAGAGATGGGGGAGAAGAGGGCGCATTAAAGTCAAAAAGAAAAAAAAAAAAAAAAAAAAAAAAAAAAAAAAAAAAAAAAAACACAAACAGCCACCATCCACAGATATTTCAAAAACAATACAGCAAAGAACAGGGTTGAAGGTGGAGTTGTATGGGGAGAATGCCATTGGAGGTGAATTACCTTTGGGAACGGGTGTGAGGTTAGGAGTGAGGGGTTTTGGTACATCTCCCCCCTCCGATGGGTTGAGTAGGTTTCTCTGTAATGTACACCTACCGCCCAATGAAAGGAGGGGGGGTTACAGATTTAGTATTTAAGCTTTTTGGGAACTTCCCAGGGGAAGGACTCGCGGCCAAAGTGGCCATAGGCGGCGGTGCGCTGGTAGATGGGCCTCTTCAGGTCCAGCTCTCTGGAATTGCACAGGAGACAGAGTAAGACAATTGCCACGCACAAAGAAGGACGCTCCGTTAACTCAATCAGCCTCTCTAACGTTAACTGTGCAAAAGACCAAACTCAGGAAACGCGTGAGCAAAAGATGACTGGGAAACCATCAAACCGAAAGGCGGTGGTTGGGCCGCCCCCGAGGAACACACTTTACCTGACAATGACGCCCGGGCGGAGGTCAAAGTTCTTCTTCACGATCTCCAGCAGCTCCTTCTCGCTCCTCTGTGAGGTTCCATAGTGGAAGATGGAGATGGACAAGGGGTGGGCCACTCCAATGGCATAGGACACCTAAGAAAACCGGTATATTGGTAAGAGTGTACTTATCCCTTCCAGGGTTGGGCCGACAGATGATGCCATTATCCTTCGCCGATGGCTGATAAATATCACGATGTTGAGCCGGTATCGTGATACAACAACCCCCCCGCATTCCGCCTTATCCCAATACCGTGTTTGGAAATAAAATGACATGTACTATGGAACAGATGGGAGGAAAATATATATTTCAATAGCCTACTTTCTCTCGCAGTTATATCGTTAGGTAATCATACTGAATATAAATTGCGGGCATCAGGGAGCCGCTATTAATATGCAGGGCACCGAAACCACTTTTGAATGCACAATCGCTTTTTAGTTTCACTTTCGAGATCGCACGTACTCCGTTTATACTATGGAGCGGCAGTACTTACCACACATTTTACAAGATTATATGTTTGTCAGCGGTGCTCAGGATCTGCAAATCATTCGCCATCGTCCTCGGTCATCTCTCCTTACTCTGTTTATGTGGTAAGTGAAATGTTATGTACTGTAATGTAACATGCAACCGTTAGCAATTGTTATTTGTTTTCCGTGCCTTTCGGAATACAGATTCATGCTTCGGGCGGCCCT